TTATAGCGTAATCCAATATACGGTTTGGCGTGTATGTAATAGTTAATGCGTAATCCAATATACGGTTTGGCGTGTATGTAATGTATCAAATAAATGAATAGTGGCGTATTTATATATCTATAGTTAGTTCGCTCAAACAATTTTTATTAATGCGTACACTTATGACACACCGCACAATTGTATGCTGATAGTATCTGTCTATCGCGTAGGAGAAAATAACAGTCGCGATACAGACAGCGAAAGCGTAAACGAAAAAAAACTAACCAAAAGGCTGAAAAAGACAACAAAAAAAAACAGAATCGAGCAACCAGTTAAGGTGTACGTCGGAAACGGAACAGAACGCAATCTCGGTTTTCCATATTCGGCGGCGGCCTTATCTCAGTGTCAAGGGCGGGGTGACGACCGATGACAACCGATTGTCATATTAATAGCTGGACGGCTGATATCGAGAGAGACACGGGTGAGCGCCAGCCTAGAGCAAAAGGCGGTGCCGTGTCAACTTCCAAAATACTGATCCAAAATTGTTATCGATCAGTCATTTTCTTAATTAGATTTTTATCTATTAAATAAGCGGTAATTAATTACAGATGTTCCATTTGAAAATTTCAAATTGGCAGCTTTATAAGATATAAGAGATTGTTAAGGTATATACTTAAGTGCCGCGCACACTAAACAAAGATTAAGGTAGGCGACACAATTTCGGGTTTAATTTGAAAAAGGCGTCGAGCCGTTTATTTGACTAAGATTATACAAGTAAAACGTAACAGAAAATAACGTTGATACGAGATTTCACAATATGAAAATAAATGTTGATGGTTTTGACAAGTGTATATGATATGCGGTTCGAGAATCGGACGACGGTACGTTTGGTGTCACAAAGATGACTGACTGGTCGTATTATTGCAGCGGGGTATTCGACGCTAGGCATTTGTTGGACTTTACACCACGACGATAACGCGTGTGTGTAACGGTCCGGTTTACAGTGAAGCGGTGGCTGAGAAGGAGCTGATACGACCGCGGGGTGTCAACGTGTGACAACGCCGTGGCCGTGTCAAGATGAAAATTAAAAATATTTTATAATTGAAAAATTTAGTAAAACATAGAACCAAGAATTTAGAACCAAATAAAAGAAATCTATAAAAAAAATTGCACAAACAAAAGGTGATAGACGAAATGGTAGATGATATGGAATCACAGGGACTTAAAGAACCCAGCACTTCGACCTGGTCGGCGCCAGTCGTCCTGGCTAAGAAAAAAGACGGCTCCTCTCGTTTGTGCGTCGACTACAGGCGACTCAACGAAGTGACCGTCTCAGACTTGTACCCCATGCCCAATCTAAACGATATGATTAGAAATATGCGGGGGGCGAAAGTATTCACGACACTCGATTTAAAATCAGGTTATTGGCAATGCTCACTTAAACAAAACGCGCGCAAATACACAGCGTTTAGAATTAGGAGGAGCTTGTTTCAATTTCGTGTACTTCCGTTTGGACTTAAAAATGCACCCATGACCTTCGTACGACTTATGAACGAAGTACTTAGGAGGTATATAAATGACTTTGTACAAGTCTATCTGGACGATATCTTGATATTTTCGGACAACGTGGAAAACTATTTAGACCACCTTAGTAAAGTTTTGGAGCGCCTACAACGACATGGTCTCACGTGCCACACTAAAAAGTGTTAAATCGGGTTTTCAGAAATTTCTTTTTTGGGACACCTGGTGTATGGGGAAGGCATCGATAAGGAACCAGAATAACTTGAGTCCATACGCGCCATACCAGTCCCACGTAATGTCAGGGACTTACGCAGATTTTTAGGGGTATGTAATTGGTATAGCCAGTTCGTCGATAACTACGCGGACAGCACAGACCCCCTCACTAAACTGCTCAAAAAAGGGGAAAAGTGGTCGTGGTCCCACACACAGCAAAACGCTTTTGAACACATTAAAACAGCGATATGTGATTCACCACGCCTCTCTTCCCCGGATTACACAAAAACGTTTTGCCTACAGACCGACGCTAGCGAACTAGGCGTGGGAGCGGTATTGTTTCAGCACGGCATCGGGCCGGGCGAAAGGAATATTATCGCGTACACTAGTAGGAAGTTATCAGACGTGCAAAAACGTTACGCCGCTGTTGAACGCGAGTGTTTAGTGATCATATGGGCTACAGACAAATTCAGGTAATTTTTATAATATGCCCCTTTTGAATTATATACGGACAACGCCGCGTTGACGTATTTACACAAATCGAAAGGCACCAACAGCAAATTAACCAGGTGGGCACTACACTTAGGTAACCTGAATTTCACCACAACACACGTACCGGGCAAACACAATGAAGCGCCGGACATGAACAAGCAAACACAATGAAGCCCACTGTCGACGAAGACGCCCTCGACGACAATCTAATAGGGGCGCCCACATTACAATCGTCCCCACGTTCTGCCACTCTTGATAATATTTACGCCGTCATCGAAACAAACAACGCGTTCTGCGGTTGTCCGTTTACGGAAGGGGGGGAAGTACAAGAGTGGCAAGATAACGACTCGTCTCTTTCATCCATTAAACGACATTTAATCACACACACATTCCCACTTCGAATGAGCTAAAGTGCGCCAAGAATAAAGACAATTTCTTTTTATTAAATGGACTTTTGCGGGCGCGGACACACCAACCGTCATACCCGGTAACAAATTACACCAACTAATTCGGTATTACCACGACGACCCCTTAGCGTGTCACCCTGAATGGAAGGAGACCTACCGAACAATAAAGCAAAGATTCTACAGCAAGGGGCTAAAGAATTTCGTGCGCATGTACGTTAAATCGTGTCATATTTGCGCGTGTACTAAGCCCCTAAACAGACGCCCAGAGGACCCAATAGTCAGTCGTCAACCGAGACAGCCATGGGAAGTAATTAGTATAAACCTAATGGTCCCGTTCCCCAAGACACTAAACAAACTTGTTAGTGGCGACTGACTGTTTCAATAGGTGGACAGAAGCCTACGCGATAGGCGCAGCAACGACAAAAACAATTACAGCGTAATCAAAAGAAAACAAATCGGCCCTGTCGATGTACATCAACACGTCTGACAGGTTGTCCGCGATCTCCGTCCACTTCGGGTTGCAGGTGAAAGTGATGAACAGATCGGGCTTGCCGTACGTCCGCACCAAGGCCATGGCGTCGTGATAACGTCTTTTCATGAACCTCACGCCGGCCGTGTGCGAAGCGGGCAGGATGACGCGGGACCCGACGTCGTTGTCCCTGGTCACGTCGTGTTGCCCGTTGATGTGATCCATCAGACCTTGGTAGGCCTCCACGAAAAAGTCCGACTGGTGCGCCTCGTAGTATTCGAACCGCTCCGATTCCATGCGCACGTAATAGTCGCACAGGAGCTGTTGAAACAGAAAACCGCCGGCGTGTAACGGGCTGAACCCGCCGTGACCGCCGTCGTTGTTGCCCCCGTAACGGACGGCCAGACGATAACACATGAACTCCCTGATGGACACGCGTTGCCTGTTGGTCGTTCTCCGCGCGCCCGTCTGTTCCATGTGTTGGTTCCATCCCCATTCGCCGTTCGGAAAGAGCAGCGGGTATACCATCGGATCGATGGTATACCCTCGACCTCGTCGACAGCGTGCGCATCGCGGGTCCGGCCGTCGCGCGGTCGTAAACCGCGAAATCCACTTGCGCCGGCGGCAAGCCGTTCTCGCCGGTGAACACCGCGGCGACTTCGTTGACACGCGAGGCGTTGTAGCGCCTCGGGTCGCTGTTGCGGTCTTCGATGAAGAACATGGTCACTCTTTGCGGTGCCTCTTCCGGCGGTCGTCGGGTCTCGTCGACCCACACCTCGTTCATATTCCTGCGAGAGACGAAAGATAACNGGTCTCGTCGACCCACACCTCGTTCATATTCCTGCAAGAAACGAAAGATAATATATATATATATATTAGGCGTAAAAATTGAGACGACGGTCGTCGTGGCGTTACCATCATCCTACTTGGTGAAACCCGATCAGACGCAAAGTACAAATTGAAAATTTCGAACTACCACACGTAAAGTACAAACCGCCCGAAAAACCCGAACGCATCAGCGCATGGAGGAACAGCGATACTAGTCCGCCAAAACATCGCACACCAGCAAATCACGCTACACACTCAACTGGACTCAACAACAATCTTGGTCAAACCGTACGACAAAACCACACAAATTTCAGCCGTCTACAAAAGTCCAGTAACCAAATTACAGCAGAGCGATCTGGACACACTGTGCAGTCACGACGGCCCCTTTCTCATCGCAGGGGACCTGAACTCCAAAAACCCAAGCTGGAACAGCAGACTGGCAAACACTTCGGGCAAACTACTACAGAAACACGCAGATACCAACAACTACACAGTCGTCGCACCGGACTCACCAACTTACTACCAGCACAACAAAAAACATAAACCGGACGTATTAGACATCGCGCTGATAAATCTTCACTCATTTCAATACTCAATCACCAACCACAACGACCTCTCGTCAGATCACAACTCAGTGCAAATAGACATTTACACGCCGATTCCGAAATTCCCGCCAAACCAATCGCCTAAAAAGAAGAACAACTGGAAGAAATTTAAAGTAAATCTACAGAAAATCAAGATCCACCGCGTAAAAACAACGGTAGAAATCGATGAAGCCGTCAAAATAATAACAAACGCGATTCAAGAAGAGCTAACGAACACGGCATACGACGCAAAACCTATACCGACACAACCACCTCTGAGCGACGATATCCTGCTGGAAATTGAAACAAAACGACAACTCCGTAAACTATGGCAACTAACGAGAGACCCGATCACGAAGAGACTCTACAACAAACAAATCAAACACGTGAAAGAACTGCTCACGCAACATAGACAAGAAGAATAGGACAAATTCAACAGTAAGTTGAGTTTCAAGGACAAATCGCTGTACAAAATCAACCGAAAACTACTTAACAAGAAACCAGCAAACACACCTCTGCACACCGAATCGGGACACAAGATCTTTGACGCAGCCGGCAAAGCGAAACTCTTCGCTGACACCATGGCCGACTAGTTCAAAAACATCCCCGGAGAAGACTTACCAGAAGTAACAAATACAATCAAGGAAAAAAACCAAGACCATCCACTGCCACCCGACTACGTAACGCCGAGAGAAATAAAGGAAATAATTAAAAAACTGCCAAACGGAAAAGCGCCCGGAAACGATAACATATCAAACGTAGCGTTAAAAAACCTACCGAATAACGTCATCACGCAACTTTCGCACATCTTCACAGCAAGCATCAGAACTGGCCATTTTCCATCGCAGTGGAAAAGAGCAGTTATTATCATGATTCCGAAACCAGGAAAAAGTCACGCCAAACCTGAAAACCACCGACCGATATCGCTTCTACCAACACTGTCAAAAGTTTTTGAAAAAACCATACTGACCAGACTGAAAACCTATGTCAAACCACGCGAAGAACAACACGCGTTTAGAGAAGGCCACTCAACTGTCACCCAGCTCGCCAGCCGGCTACAAAACATCAAATCCAACAGAAACGACAACAAATACACAGCGGCTGTATTCCTAGACATGGATAAAGCTTTCGACCGCGTGTGGCACGAAGCCCTCATACACAAGCTAAGTGCAACCACAGGACTACCAATACACTTGGTAAAACACATAAAATCATTTCTAACCGAACGTTCTTTTCAGGTCCGAGTAGCCGACCAACTATCCACGCCCAGGAACATAGAAGCCGGAGTACCACAGGGATCCTGCATATCGCCGCTACTTTACGTACAATACATCAACGACTTAACGACAACAAGACAAGCGAAAACGGCGATATTTGCAGACAACACAATGTTCTACACCGGACACCAAAATAAAAATTTCGCAATCGTCCAACTCCAACGCCAAATCAACCTCGCAGTGCCATGGACCGAAAAATGGAGATTAAAATTAAACATTGAAAAAACCGAAGCAATAGTATTTGGAGCCAGGCGTAACAACATAACCAGAAAACTGAAAATCAGAGACATACCGATAGCATGGAAAGACGAAATAAAATATCTAGGAGTGACACTCGATACTCTCTTGAAAATGAACAAGCACACACAAAAAACAATACAGAAAGCCAGAGGAGTGAAAGCAGCACTTTATCCGATCATAAATGAAAAATCTACTGTTCCGCTGAAATCCAGACTGCAAATCTACTCAATCTATATAAAACCCATACTTCTATACGCGTCAACAGCATGGAGCCCACACATCAGCAAATCAAACTGGAAGAACTTAGAAGCAGTCCAAAACTTGACAATCCGCATGATTACCGGAACGCATTACCTCACCTCAAATGAAACTCTCAGGAATTCTGCAAAAATTTTATCACTAGCCGAAGCAACAGATTTTACGATAAGTATTTTCTTTCATAAAATGTCAAATTCAAAATACCCCACCTACAAAAATTAACCGAATAAATTAATTAACCAAACTATTTTGTAGCATCACCCTGCTACAACAGCTAACGCCTGGAGCTCTAAATAGGCCACAGGCCGTCACACAAAGCCAAAGGCAAAGGTGGCGTTACCTGAACGCTTCAGCGTACGGGATGATGGCCCTCAACATTTCGTCGAGTTGCCGTAACACGCTCTCCAACAGATTGGCTCGGCTGCGATTGGCTTCGATCCGCGCCGCGGTAGCCTCCGTCGAGCTGATGAAGTACAACTGACAGTAGCGAGTCGTTGCCCCCCTCCTGTTGGGTATCGCCGCTCGGCTCATCTTGCGGTCAGTGAAAGTGTAAATAATCGGTAAAGTGTTTTAAAATAAATAATTTATCGGCAGGGCAATAACAAAAAAAAAAAAAAAAATTACTTTAGGTAATTAATAATATCTTAATTGTTATTATAATTTATTCGAGTGTTCCACCAACGTTAAAGTGGTGTGTTGACAATTTGTTTGATTAACGTCATATATCGTAGAAAAAAAGTAACGTATTGTTTATATCGAAGTGTTATATATACTGTTTGTACGCGTATACCACAATGTAGAAATGAGTTTTTCGCGAAAACACTGCTGAATAAATGTATATTAGTTGATGTGAACAGCCGTAAGGATCGATTGATTTGAATCGAGGTGGACTTGATAATAATAACGGTAAAAATTGAATCCGCTTTAATTAGATTTAATTCGACGGTTATAGTCGTTTGAAACGAATAGTCATTACGAAATATTTATCTGATATGAATAAACAATGAATATTAAATTTAAATAAGCTTACATATTAGTTTCCTAAGTTTTTACAAACGAAATACGAAAAATATTTTAAAACTAATGTCGATATAAGACTTGTAAACAATTTGTTAAGTGCACGTACGATAAACGTTATGGAGTCCGGTTACTCCGTCAATATATATTTTATAAATTTATGGGAACAACTAATAAAACGGTGCGGTGTAATTGTAATTTATTACAAAAATAATAACTACCCTACAGTAATATTGCCGATAAATTAGTCGAGGAAAAAATTTCGCTTCCATTACCTGTGGTACATCTGTCCGTGCGCGGTAAACACACCGCCGGGCAAACGGCCCGGCTGAGCCTCGGCCACTCTATCGGCTGGCGCGACGTTCACTATGAACGAAGCGAACGCCAGCGCGCTGTTGTAAGGACGAATTTCCGCTCTAAAGGATCGCGATCGTGCCGAATCGCCGAGCATCAGGTCCTTCAACCTATCTGGAACAGGCAATAATACTTGATCGTCCGCGAGGTCGACCAAACCATTAGAACAACACAAAGAAAAATAAAATCTCGCATTGTTACTGATACTTTTCCACGGCGAAATGCCGTGCGTTGCAGTACGCACAAACGTAATTCATTGGGCCAATGCAATTCTCTTCCGGTAAAACGTCTCGCACGTGAGCTAGTAGTGTTGTGTAGTAGCTTAGTATACAGGCACAGGTTATAAAACTTGTGTCGTCTAAATATAAATGAATAAATGATTATAATAATTAATGGTACTTAATGTCTGAGTGAACTTCGAGAAATATTACGCAAGGCAATTTGTTATGCTCAATAAAATAGTAATTATCACTTGTGTCCCATTTGAATAGTGTCGAACAAATGAGTATATATATTGCAATGAATAACACAAAAAAAAAAAACCAATTTTAATAATTTGTAATAGTAGTTCCACATGGAATTTAAAAATGTACAAATATTGGAAAAGAAATTAAATAAATTCAAAATAAGTAGAAGATATATACTGGAGTAATGGATACGCCGTTCCACACTAAATAGGCAACACAACAGTCGCGACGACCTACGGTACTGTTGCTAAATGAATGTTTGTAATTAAAAAAAAAAAAAGATAAAAATGTACACCGTATTATAATATAATGCACGCCACGCTGTACAACAGATTCCATTTTATTAAAGCCGAATGCTATATTTAATATACTATTTATTGTAATGTTCGAAATAACTAAACTCACTTCGAACGTAGCGACGTCGAGGGCTGGTTCGTTTAGAACTCCGACGACGGCAAGCTACACAATGAGAGGAAAAAAAACAATAATTAATTAAAAGTTTATGTGTCCATCGTATTGAAAAGCGATTTAATAATTTTACTGACGTCCTCCAATCCGACGTCGACAAATTCGGGCGACGGTTCGACGGGAGCCCCGACCACTTCAATCTACACGAAAAAAAAATATGTATATAAAATGTAATTATAATGCAACGCAATAAAAACTGCTCACGTCGAGCGGACCGACATCGACAATTTCGGGTGACGCTCCAACGGGTACTTCTACCACTTCAACCTACAGAATTGTTTGCGTACATAAAAATACAATAATATACAGTAAATTTATTATTATTATTATTATTATGCGTATAATGTTCACCAAATCGTTTCCACTGGCACCAACACCGCCAGCGACGACATTTCCTCCGAACGGTCCAGCATGACCAACATCAATGTCCACCACGCGAACAATTTCAATCTACACAGTGCCAACTTTTAATGTTACAATTCAGGATAACTCGGGTACGGAACCTGACGTGTTGTGTACGCGATACTTGCAACGTATACATACATATACACGCGTTGTAAGAAACATTTGAAAAAGTGAACGAATTAATACCGTCACATTCCGTAACCGTTACTACGATTCTTAATGAAATTAATTAAACAAATTTATTACGTCGGCCTCATCGTGTTGCTCCGTGATACTGACCTTAAAGTGAAAAGCAAGATCGTCGAAGACAATTGTAGCGATTACTGTTAACTATTATAATTATTACTTACGGACGGTACGGCGTTCCGGTTGAGCACCCTACGCACAGTACTGCTACCGTAGTCGCTGGGCAGAAAATGCCGGTAACACAAAAACGCATTGCGTACGTTTACGTCCGACGGATTACGACAAACTGTAACCAGGAATCGGCCCTTTGGGCATCCCTCGGAAACCTACGAACGCAAATGTCCTTCAGACTGAAGGAGACGTCGAATCGAAAACAATTAATTAACGTGTACATACTTGTGTAAACTGACATCGGCGACGGTGGTGAAGCACAAAACACACCGGTTTACCATGTTTAGAAAAAAATAAAAAATAAATTCTGTGGTCAAAAACCGGGTATGATTATAAAAAAAAAAAAAACTATTTATAAATTATATTTGAATTATTATTAATATTCTGTTTATATATATGAACTATATATAAATTATATATTTATATAAAAAAACGTATGGTTATAATATAATTAATATATAATCAATTTTTATAAATCGAGATCACTATGAAACGATGACAATGTGTCAATTGATTGTGATCAACAGGTTGATTACCTAACGCGAGCGCATTGATGCGAATAATATCGATAGAACGACCGAAACCAGGTCGTGGTCCGAAACACGGACGATAGAAAGTCGCACGGTTCAAAGTCCAACTTACGCGCGTGACGAAAAACTCCAGCAACACGTGTTACCGTGAATTTCGGGTCGTGCGTAAAAAAAATTGATTTGCGGTGGTTGGGCATTGACGTTTTACGAAAAACACTGAACAGATTTTTGTAAAAGCGAACGCGGACCTCGGATGGCGAGTGTCTTAGGGTTCGGCTAAATAAGTGAATAGCCCTATTCGATCGCACCACAGAAAAAGTCGACAAAAATCGGCGGCGGCGTCTGATCGAATTCGTTTCAAATGCTGACGACTCTCGGAGATTATAAAGCGACGGAGTCCAAAGTCCGACCTGGGAGTGGCAAAGAATTCCCGGCCTGAAAAACCTTTTAGCGCCACATCACAGTTACAATGGTGTCGGCGAAAATGAAGGTCGTGTACAAAAACAGCACAGTCTTCAATGTGTGCGTCCCAAAGCAGCACACGTCGAAAAGGCGCAATGCGCCAAAGAAACGGAAAAATATGAAAAAGCGCAAGGGTCCGAAACGTAAGTGCACTTATTAATTTATACTTTTATTAATTGCGCACGCATATCGTATTAATGACGGACGGTATTCGTTTTCGCAGTGTGCTGGAGGTGCAAGAGTAGTGCGCACCTCAATGTCGAATGCCCGAGTAATTATACATAAAACTACGACTTATATCCATGTGTTAAAAAAAAACGTGTTTTTTTTTTCAGAACGTAAAACAGCAGCAACACAACAACCATCACCACCAATACCCCAATCGACGTCGCCAACAACGGTGACCCAAACGCCGACGGAATTGGCGCACCGCTGCAATGCGGAGGAGGAGGTCGAGCGGTTAAGAGTACTATTACAAAAGGCCACGACGACCTCCTCCTCCTCCTCCACCGAGGACTGCGAAATGCGTCGTCAACCGGGGCAAGGTATGAATACACACGTACAATAGAGGCAGAACTAATAACGATTGATTTTTCAAAAAGTCAAATTGTTTAACCATACAATATGGAATACATTTTTCGTTCAAAGCTAAGGAAATTTATTTATGGTAAACCAACAATAGCTAATGAAGTATTAGTACGCAAACGTGTATTATTAATTCTTAGCGCTGTGTTCTGCCTCTTACGTTTATTTAATTATTTTATGTCGTAATAATAGATACATAACAATAAGAGTGTTTTTTTTTTTGTTTCAGAATCGAATGAATAGAATAAAATCATGTTTATATAAATATATATAATTTTATTATTTAAAATAAACGTACAATTAAAAACGTGTTGTTGATTTATTTTCATGTTATTATAATATAATATGTATTATATAATCACAGTGGTCAATTGTGTATCGGGGTAGTAAAATGTCAGTTGAATAACGGTATAATTAGTAAAAATATTTCACAAAAGATTATACAATAATTATGCAACATGTTACAATGGTTATTAGTCAAATGGGTCGTTTTTTAAAATAAGATAAATCAAAAACGGTTAGTCTTTAAACCATATGATAAAAGAACAGGTCGATATTTACAGCACTGAACTTTCGCTCAACTATATTACATAAGATGAATTTTATTTGCAAGTTGAAATAAAAAAAAAAATTATATAGAATATATTGAATACGCGAAAATAAACTGTAAGTGAAATATCGTATGAGATAACCCTAACGTGTGTACCTCAAGTGAAATGATTAGTTTAAATATTTAAATAATAACGTGGTAAAAAATTGATTTTCATGATTATTATTAATTTATTTTGCTTACATAAATAAGCACACATAATCGTATGGAATAATTGCTCGGAGCAATTTAAAAAAAATAGTTCAAAGAAAATATATATAAAAATACAAAACGATATATATATATGTATATGCTATATATATATGCTTATGGCGAGTGCAGAAATCATTGTAAAAATCAAGAACACAACAATAAGAAAATCACGGTTGACATATGAGAGAAAAAAATATATTTACAGGCGAGATATTATTTGTCTCACTTTTAAATGGTTTTGTTGTTAACATTACAAACTCGATGTAAACAAAATCTTATCGAATTGGGGATTTATAAAATACCCCAGTGTATACTGTAATGGTATTTACTTTAGAGAAATCAAAGACTCGAAATTATTCAAAATTTTTTTTCGAAATTCACAGTTTTTATAAACGATGCGTCTTGAGTTTATTATTTCACTTTAAATTATCAGCTTGGATTTTAATGTGTTTTTCCATACTGAAATAATGAGCGTTAAAAAATTTCAATGTAATTTTCCACGCAGGGAACAATAAAATACATGTTAATTGTTACTACTGAAATGGTCTATTAAAAATGATAATATTGAAGTACGGTTGATAGAAGTCTACTGGCGTTATCGATGAGCTCCAAAAGAGAACAACACACAGCGATCCGTGTCCAACAGCCAGACGTTACCGGGTCAATCGATATCAATGTAGACAGATTTTTATTGCGATCTAAAAGTAAAAAATAAAATCATGAAACACAAAAATCCAAGTGGCCTAATAACAAAAAATTCGTACTGTACCTTTTTGGTGAGGGGAGGACGGTCTTAACAAAAATCAACAGCGCAGAACGTTCAATACGCCGTGGGTACAAAAGAATTGAAAACGGTGAGATATCCCAGGGCCTGCACGGTCTGAAATTCATAAATCCCATAAATTAATAAAGTCATTAATATTATGTAATCATCAAAAAAGTAAATATTTAATTATCGCACCATATGTGTACGACTGTATAATTGTACAACAATCTTAAACGTTATAATACACAGTTGGGATAGAACAACACGGAGCCGTTCAAGAATGTGAATAAATAAATATGCAAACAAAAATTAAAATAATTTACAAAACACATTAATTAATGTGTTTCGTGATGACTGCATTAGTCGTCTCCGCAGTAAATAAATAGTTAACTATTGCAATTTCTGTTTGTCAAGACAGTGTAGTCATGTACACGTATTAATAAGTGAAGAGATGTTTGCGAGTGTGAATACTATAACAAAAATTGAAATTTTATATATATAAAAAAAAAAAACGAATTATTACCAGTCTAATAAATCTGTTGACGATTAGAGCCAGTATACTTGGTCGGCAGGCCGAGCCAATATCGAAGCAGTTCCCAGGATCTGAATATTACAAAATCATATTAATCAATACTGTCATTACCATGATTATGTAAACGATTTTAAAATTATAACATAATTATTGCAATAGCTGTGAAATCGTCAATCGGGGGACTTTCAATAACAAATAATCATAGAGGATACCACAAATATAAACGTAGTACACGCAAACAAAAAACTGATTAAAAAAAAAAAAAAGTATATAAATGTAAATAAATAAATATATATATATATATATATGTGTTTCACACAATTACGCAGTGGAAATAAATAAAGTATGATATATTATAACAATCAGCTTATAATATAATGATTTATAATAATAATGAATTTGGGCGTCCCCAACTTTAAAATAACATTAAATAACAATTAACAATATTTGTTACAATAATTACATTAATAATAATAGATCCGACCTGGTCCGCAAATATGCTCGGTGATCACCTTTCCATGCCGTTCACTTCCTTAACGTCCAGAACAGCAACATATGACCAATTTAAACGTAACGGTAATGGGCCGCCAGAGAGTACCCGTAAATTCGCCAACTAGAAATTGACCAGCCACCAGTCCATCAGATGACTTAACATAGTATTACGCGAACCGCAGAAAATATGCGTGAATCCGCCGAATTAACAATAACGTTAATCACAATAATAATCCGAGCGAGCGACATAAAAACCATGTGCTCGGGGCACCGCCGACCGAAAAAGAAAAAACGAGGTTAAAAAAAAATAGTAGTCCGAACAACACACAAAAACAAAACGTGTTCGGGCAGCCGCCGACCGATGTTCACCGAACCGGCTCCACTGATAAGGCCGACAGTGGTATCAGCTGACCACGGAGGCGGCACTACTGCCTGGCGTGAACATCCTCCCCCTGGTGAAGACATAGTCTTCACAATTGGTTTTGGATGATAAGGCCATCCATTGCGCTGTGGATCAGACTGGAGCGAGGTGGAGATATCTTCGCCAGTGTGGCACGTGCTTCCCCTTTTTTCTTTTTTACATAAATATATAATTTTATAAACATACAAAATACACATAAAAAGAAACAATATTTTTTTTACAACTAAAAGGTATAACAATAATTTACATAAATGGGTAACGCCTGGTAACCAGATGGGTACTTAAGTTAATCCCCGTGACCCGTGATGCGGTTCTAATAATTCATTTGTAAGATTGTATTTGAAAAGAATATGGAAAACATGTGTTGGTAAGATCACAAGAGCACAGGAAAGAATAAATCAAATAAAAATAAAAAAAAATAAATAAATAACTATAAGAACTAAGATGACAGCAAAGGCACCAATTTCACCACTGGGCGATTTATCCATCCATTGATGGTGTTCAACTGGACGACCCGCACCACACCATCATCACCGGGAAATACCCTTTCAACGCGACCGAGATGCCATCTTAACGGAGGTGCATGATCTTCCTTAATGATCACTAAATCACCGACCTTCAAATTTCGATCCCCTCTAGTCCATCGGCTCCGAATTTGAAGACAATTCAAATACTCAACGGTCCATCTTTTCCAAAATGCTTGATGGCATTGCTTGAGCAACTTCCATCGTTGAGTGATCGTGCGTTGAGTTTCAGGGACTAACTCCTCTGGTGGAGCTAAAAGTGGTTGACCTATGAGAAAATGACCAGGAGTTAAACACGTTGTGTCGTTTGGGTCATCACTCATTGGGGTCAGCGGTCTCGAGTTTAACACAGCCTCAACGCGGGTAATAATAGTGACGAACTCTTCCAGAGTGAACAAGTGCGATCCCATAGTCCGATATAGAAGTGCCTTCATAGATTTCACCGCGGCTTCCCAAAGGCCTCCAAAGTGAGGGGCATTTGGGGGATTAAAGTTCCACATACAAGGTATGGCAGCACTCCAATTATTACGAATGTCGGGGTTGTTTACAAACTGGCGCAACATTCTATCTGCTCCAACAAAATTGGTTCCGCAGTCCGTATAGATTTGTGATGGTAGTCCCCTTCTACTAACGAAACGGTCTAATGTCGCTAAGAATGCGGGGGTGGATAGATCCGACACTACTTCCAAATGGACCGCCTTGGTGGTCATACACACGAAAACGGCCACATAAACTTTGTACTCCCGTGATTTTCTAAGTCGCTGCTCTTTCATGGCAAATGCTCCAGCATAATCAATTCCCACATTTGAAAACGGACGGCTAGCTTGAACTCGAACCGCCGGTAATTGAGCCATCATAGGTTGGGGATTTACAGCGGCGAATCGAACACATTTCACGCACTCTTTAATTACTCTTCTTGCAACCTTCCGTGCAGAAATTATCCAGAACTGGCGGGCCACCATATTCATCATAAATTTTGGTCCGGAGTGACAACCTACAATATGCCAGTACCGGAACAGTAACAAAGCTAAATGGGACTGACTAGACAACAACAATGGGTGTTTTTGATTGGTATCGAGTGACGCATGTTTAATACGGCCTCCGACTCGAATAAGTCCCAGTGAATCTATAAAAGGTGCAAGTCTCGCATACAACCTTGATGATACTCGTCGTCCTCCTTCCAACTCCAATTTTAACGCAGAAAAACTTATCTTTTGTGTGTGCATTACAATAGCGTACAAGGATGCTGTTAACTCATTCTGAGGCCAAGAGTTCGACGCAGAAGTCCTCCCGCGACTTTTGGACATAAAACGACGCAATAACACTCCAACTCGAATCAAACGCGTATAAGATGAAAATCGGTGAAACCATTCAACCTCTGAGTTTTCAACGATCGCTAACGTGACTGCATTAGTTTTGACCTCTGGCAGTTCAGACGCTGACATAACAGGAATAGACGACGGCCAAACCCGTGGTTCGTTCTTCAAAAAATCTGGGCCGTTCCAATACAATACTGAAGATTTTAATTTTGAGGGCAATACACCCCTGGATGCACAATCGGCCGGATTAATAGAGGTAGGTACATAACGCCATTCACAATTGGGTAACAAATCACGAATTTGCTTGACTCGGTTGGACACGAATATTTTAAATGAAACCTGTGGTAAGTTAATCCATGACAATACGACCGTTGAATCTGACCACGCGTACAGTGTATCAATGTTCATATGCGATGATAATAATTTATGAATACGCGACAACCACTTGGATAACAAAACCGCCGCGCACAACTCTAACCGCGGTACTGTGGTAGGCTTCATTGGGGATAGCTTAGTTTTGCTACCTATTAACCGAACATTTATATTACCAGTATCATCAACTGAATGCAGATACACTAAAGCTGCGTAGCCCTTTGTGGACGCATCACAAAATCCGCACAAAGTTACCTGCTTTGGCGAGGGACTACAAATAACTCGCGGAATTCGAATGGTTTTCAAGTCTTCCAATTCGTCAAGGAACATTGTCCAACGCTCCATGATACTAGATGGCAAGGAAGAGTCCCATTGTAGATCGTATTTCCACACTTCTTGCATTATACTTTTGGCATAGAAGATCACTGGAGCCACCAAACCCAACGGATCAAACAAGCGGGCGATGGTCGACAACAGACTCCTCTTCGTCATCACACGCTCACCAAGTATAATGTCGTACGTAAACTCATCATTGCTGGGAAGCCAACGCATACCCAGTACTTTTACGCCTCCTCCGTCTGAGACCGCAATATCCAACATATCCGATTGGTCTTCAACAGGAATTCCAGCCAAAACTTCTTTGTAATTTGATGACCATTTCTTCAACTCTAAACCACTCTTTGCCAACACATGAACTAAGGCGTCACGTAGACGTTTAGCTTCTTCCAAGGTTTGAGCTCCTGTACAGATGTCATCCATATAAGTGGAGCTTTGCAAAGCTCTACTTATATCAGGCTCTTCATCCTGAACCTCCATCGCTATCTCCTTGAGAACTCTTAAAGCTAAATAAGGGGCGCAGTTTAATCCATAAGTGACAGTATTTAATTCATATTCTTTTAATTCTTCCTTAGGGGAAGAACGCCACAAAATATGTTGTAGAGGCCGATATTTTTTATGGATCCAGAACTGTCTGTACATTTTACAAATGTCGGCCGTAAAAACAACTCGATAAGAACGGAACCCGATCAACACGTCTACTACATCTTGCTGGAGCTTTGGTCCTGGATACAGAAGATCATTGAGTGATTTACCGGATACACCACGAGCCGACCCATCGAATACGACCCGCAATTTCAATTTATCTTCAACCATTTTACACACCCCATGGTGGGGAATGAAATATACACCGGGTTCTTTAGCAACGGACATGTGATTTAGTGCTTCATATTCTTGCATAAAGGCCTGATAATGTTCGGCTAACATTTTATCTCGGGATAACTTATTCTCAAGTTGCAGAAACCTCTTAATAGCTATTTGCTTCGAGTCAGCAAATAACTCAGGCGAATAACCATTTCTCAAAGGTAGTGGCACGATAAATCTTCCATCTTCCGCCCGGTCCACTTCATTTTGAAAAATATCTTCACAGTGTCCTTCATCTGTAAATTGCATTGGAGCCTCCTCCGGTTCCTCTATTGCCCAGAACCTTCCCATCAATTGCTCCAAGGATACATGAAAGCAAGATACCATTGAAAGCTGTTGGTCTGCTGGTGTAATTGTAGAGCGATCTTCTCCTATAAGAACCCAACCAAACACCGAGCCGAATGCTGTTGGCATCCTTTCGTTAACCACAACACGTTTACCATCCATGACTGCAGGGAATAAATCTGCTCCGATTAACATATCCACGGGACCTGGCTTATAAAACTGAGGATCGGCTAATGCTAAATGAGAATACTTGTTCTGAATGTCTGGAGTCAACGGTCCGTGAGGCATTTCTCCTGTGATTTTGGGTAATATCCATGCCTTAAATTGTAATTTCGGCTCATCAGCATGCCGAGGGGTTAAAGTACAATGAGCTACACCATCTATACCAGGCACATTAACTCCCGACAAGCCAGAGATAGGAGCGGTCCAACGAGTACGACTGAGTCCCAAACGCTCTACACATCCGGCAGTTATGATACTAATCTGAGAAGCCGAATCAATCAAAACTCTGACAATTTGCGAATTACCCCAACAATCACGGGCATGAGCAAGAGCAGTGCCTAACACCACCATTGTATGTGGCAGGGAACCCATCAGGGTGGCAGGACTGTTGTCTGCTTGATAAGGTACTTCTGTAGCAAGTCGATGCAGCAGCGAATGATGACGAAAAGAACATTTATTACATTTAGCAGCTTTACATTTCAAAGCTAAATGTTGACTAGAAAGGCAGATAAAACACAACCGATGAGCCTTAACAATGGAGAAGCGCTCAGCAACTGTCAAAGACTTAAATTTATCGCAATCTGGTAAATTGTGATGGGCATCACAAACATAACATTTAACCAAATTATTCACCTTGGTACCAGTTTGGCGAGCAATAAGAGCAGTTTTGGATGTGAATGATTGCTTATTGTAATTAAATTTGCCATATTTGTATTTATTGTCCGTGGTTTTATTATCTGCTGATTGAATTCCCACGTTTTCCAGGATTCTTGCTCGTTCCTTCACAAATGTAATTAAGTCCTCGACCGATGGAAAGCTACCACCACATTCGGATTCAAAAACTTTTCTACAACCTATTGGTAAGCACCTCATTCCTAATGTAAACAACACAAAGTCACCCACGTCAGGTATAGGAAGAGTGTGTAATAGTGCTATGGAATCTTCAAACACCTTTAAGAACTCATTGAGATGAACAACCGTTTCTTGTCCCACACGTGTCATATTAAGCAATCTTTCCACCAAAGAATTGGCTAATTGACGCGGTTTATTGTATCTGTCTTCCAATGCCGCCCAAGCAAGAGTGAAGCTATTGGTCGATAGATGATAACCCTTTGTAATTTCTTCTGCTTCTCCATATAAGCAACCCATTAAATAGAAATATTTCTCTTCATTATTTAATTCATTGTGCTGAACAACTTGAGACTCAAAACGCCCACTAAATGCCGACCATTCATCTAATTTACCACCAAACCTAGGTAGCGGTATGGTTGGAAGTTTTGGATCTCTTATAACGCCATTTGACAAAGTGGAAGCCTGAGGAAAAGCGATAGATGGTACCACAGTGTTTTGAATTCCTTCCTGAATACCATTTGAATTGCTCCTGACTGCCATGCCATCTTGTTCTACCTCAGCTCTCATAGCGGATACGCTGCGGACCAACGCTCGAATCTCCGGCTCCAATTCAGGCTTAAATTTGTCCAACTCGTTAAGTTCAATCATAGCGTCTAGTACTGCTTCATTTTCAACTAAAAATGCTTCCCAGAGGGCGTCGATGTCAGCAGCCATCATTAAAAATTGTCCCACATCCTTTTTCTCTTTTACTGCTGCCGTGCCTAACGTATAAGTATGCCGAATACTCATTAACAGACTTTCCCGCTTAGTTAGCGCTTTATCCCTGGCACGTGTTGTTCTCTCCGTCATGGTTTCCAAATAAGTATATAGACCTCTTCACTGAACAACCAAAGGAGAAAGAGAAAAAAAAAAAAAAATAAATAAATAAATAAGTAAAACCACGGAAGAACACTAATAAATTAATATAAAATAATAAAAAAAAAATCAAAGAAAAATAATAATGATTTCCAACAACAAAAAATTTCTTGATTACTAAATGTTTTCACATCCGATGTAAAAACCACCGACTCCGATCAGAGAATTGTAATACTGCAACTTTACCGATAGAGATCACTAATTAGTGGAACCGATCTCCATTCTCCAATGATGCAGGTTGAATTTACTGACAGTTTGTCACACTTTTTTAAAAAAAAATTAATTTTTCCGACAAACATACAGCAAATTTAATTAACTAATATTCAAAAATTTTCCGAACAAAACAAAATTTGTAATAGCTATATAAAATACTACAATGAATTATTCTATTAGCAAAAAAAAAAAAACCAGAAAAAGCAAATAAAATTATAAATAAAATAAAATAATTAATTTTAATCCGCTGACTGAAAACAAGCTTTCAATGATGTTGTTAAAACCGTACAAAACCAACACATATATCCACAATAATGAGGTAATGAATTTTTTCCTTTTAATAAACCCCACTTACAATTAACTACTAATTTTTTTTGTACTAAGTAAACATAAGGTATAAATTAATTGTAAATACTATTACTAAGCTGTAACGCCGCTGCCGCAATTAAATAATTAAGTAATTAATCAACTAACAAAATGTTAACTTTAAAACATACTATTCAACCAATCTAATTTTTTGCTGTTAATTCAACTATATCTTAATTAATCATTTAATAAATTATTTATGTGCTGAACCCGTTCACAAAATATAAGTAAAACCAGTGATTATTTTAATACCTTCAAAAAAAAAAAAAAACAAAACAAAACTATTGACTTTTTGTAGATCAAAACCACGCTCTGGTTACCAAAATGTTTCACACAATTACGCAGTGGAAATAAATAAAGTATGATATATTATAACAATCAGCTTATAATATAATGATTTATAATAATAATGAATTTGGGCGTCCCCAACTTTAAAATAACATTAAATAACAATTAACAATATTTGTTACAATAATTACATTAATAATAATAGATCCGACCTGGTCCGCAAATATGCTCGGTGATCACCTTTCCATGCCGTTCACTTCCTTAACGTCCAGAACAGCAACATATGACCAATTTAAACGTAACGGTAATGGGCCGCCAGAGAGTACCCGTAAATTCGCCAACTAGAAATTGACCAGCCACCAGTCCATCAGATGACTTAACATAGTATTACGCGAACCGCAGAAAATATGCGTGAAACCGCCGAATTAACAATAACGTTAATCACAATAATAATCCGAGCGAGCGACATAAAAACCATGTGCTCGGGGCACCGCCGACCGAAAAAAAAACGAGGATAAAAAAAATAGTAGTCCGAACAACACACAAAAACAAAACGTGTTCGGGCAGCCGCCGACCGATGTTCACCGAACCGGCTCCACTGATAAGGCCGACAGTGGTATCAGCTGACCACGGAGGCGGCACTACTGCCTGGCGTGAACAATATGGATTGTATAAACTGATGTAAAACATATTGCAGCAATAAATGATATACAAATCAAACTAATGATTAAAATGTATAAAGATGAAGTCTATTTTGAAAAAAGTCAATAGGAATAAATTTTTTTTAACAAATGAAAATGAATTACCCTTGCAATAAATTCAATAGCGATGACTGCCATCAATCTCTAGCTTAGTTATCGTGGCACAACAGATACCGTCTAAAAATTACAAAATCAAAAATTGATTAAAACTTGCCATCACCATAATATAATAATAATAATATATCTACAATATTGTTATTGCAATTGCTATGAAATTATCAATAACACATTATAATAAGAAAAAAATCAAAAAGAGAATCACAAATATAAATGTAGTACTCGCAAACAAAAAATTAAAAAAAAAATGTATATATACAGAGAGAGAGAGAGATTATATAGACCGATGTAGTAGTACATATTGCACACCAATAAATGAAATACAAATCAAACTAATGACACGGTACCGTATATATTGCGATACGTGAAATACACGGTCACCTCGTCTTTTCCATCAGCCGCCTTATTACATCGCGAGCCCAGCCTGATTAGAGTACCCCCGCTATCTAGTCAGGGTGCAAAGTCGATCTACTGGAGCGCGGTCGACCACCGAGCGCCGGCGGTGAACGCTCTATCTTGTTTTTGACGTCCTACGTGAATTTTCTCTGTACGCTGTCGTCACGTGTTGTACATTAAAAAGTTACTTTTATGCATCCAAATTAAAAACCTCAAGTTGTATTATTTCTTCATTTAAATCGTAATATATATATAAATATATTTATTGGATTATTTAAATTTCTCTTGTTTTCTATTGCTCTCGGCCAGTGCCATTGTAGTGATACTTTAGACATTTTTGTACGTATTTGTGTTACTATTATTGTGTTATCTATTATATTTAAGAAACAAACTTATATTGACACTCGAATTATCCGTGTCACTAATGATTAACATATGCTAAATAAATTGATTAAAATGCAAAAGGACGAACTCGACTTTGAGAAAAGTAAATAATAATAATAATTTTTTTTTTTGACAAATAAATTACCCTTGTTATTATAAATCCAATAGTGACAACAGCAAGCAGTGTCCAGCGTATTCGTACCGGCACAACAGATACCTTCTAAAAATTACAAAATCAAATCAAATAAGACCATCACAATATCGACAATTAATTAATAATATATATAATCGCCATAGTAGTAGAAAATTTACAAAATCGCATTAATTAAAGAATACAGTCGGTACAACTAATAATAATAACAATAATAACGAAATAATGACAAATAAACGACGTAGAAACGGCGGTCGAGGACGACGCACAAAACAGCGGCGCGGTGATAAGGACGAAAACCGGCATAGTGGGAGGCGCGCTCCCCTATTCGGCGTCGTTTGGCGTTCCATGAAATAGCGTTTTTCGCGAATTTAAGAAAACGGGTACGGCGAAAAATTCGAACGAAGGTAGGAAAAGACGCGGGACCGGAAGGGCCATGGAACGGTACGGGAAAGGAGGCGAAAAGAGAAAAAGGTGAATTTTAAAAAGGAAAAAAGAGAAAATCTCTTCCAGGTGGAGCTCATTTTGAGGGGCTTACGATTTTAGTATATAGCGGGAGACTTCCAGGTGGAGCTTATTTTGAGGGGCTTACGATTTTAGTATATAGCGGGAGACGAGCGGCGGTCGGAAAAGACGCGGGACCGTAAGCGCCGTCGAACGGTACGGGAAAGGAGGCGATAAGAAAAAAACGGTAATTTTAACGCGTAAAAAACGGAATATCTCTTCCAGGTCGACCTTATTTGAGGGACTCAGAAAATAGTATATAGCTAGAGATAGAGACTAGAGACTAGAGACTAGAGATTTAAAAGTGACCCCAGACGTCAAATTTTAATATTACTGTCATAACAGTAATATATGATTTTGTCCATCAACGTGTTAATGTCTAATGTTGTTAAAGTATATATTTTCGAATTATGTATGATATGATAGTATGTGCCAACTATAAAATAAATAATTTAATTTGTTTTTATTAATTTCTTGACTATGGTATACTAACAATCTATAATATTCAAAATTATTTGGTAAAATGTTACTGTTTAAATGATTTTTGATTACCTTATTTTATAATTTATTTTTATAATTATAATCAATTTTTATGATACGCACAACTGATTAGATTTTTTTAACAGCTTTCTGATTGTTTTTTTAGTTTAAGCATATCATTAAAATTAATTAAGTTCTGAATATTTCAATTTTAGATTAAGCAAGAATTATATAGAAATGATTACTATGATTTCTATTGAAGTTATTAAAAATGCAAAAGAAAATAGTGATTTTAACGAAATATTGAGTTTTTCTCGTAAAAATACTGTCAATAGTAATTATAAAATTTCCGGACTGCATACTAATCTTAACAATACCATTTTTTTTTTTTTGCAATCGTAAACTTATAGTAAGAACACTTATTTCATTACTGAATGAAGCTAAATAATGTAAGTAACAAAGCCAAAGATAATACAAAAGTCAAAGTTTAAATTTAAAAATAAATTTATTTGAAATAATTTTTTAACGTATCCTAGAGTTACACATTATTAAAAAAATTGTTTTTGATCCATTTTTAGCTAAAAATAGAAAGTTGGGTCTGAAAGTTTTAATTGATTGATACGATGAGTAAATTTTTCAATCTATCAAACGAATTAATATTAACTTATTAATAAATTATTTTTTTCATATAAAACTCTAAACTCATCTATAGAATTAATTACTAAAAAAACGGTAGCACAGTGGGGTTGCAGTCAAGTGGTTACGCAGCAGTTAGGATAAGTATAGATAGGTGTCGGTGAGTTGATTTCCAAGACTTATTTTATGTATTAATTGATTCCCCGGGTCAAATTAGAAGATGTACGAGTTCATTTCCAATACACATATGAATGCATTCCTAAACTTTAGCCTATTGTAACGATATGAATTTATAATTTTTCATACATCAGCCTATTAGCGTTATTTAGGAGACACCACGAGGAGGTTGGCTGTTAAGTCTCCTAAACATTTTTTTTAGCTTCGATATGAAGCAGAGAAAGTATTTTCCTCTTTTATTGTCATGAGATAAAAATATTTAAGTTGAATTAATATAAAATAAACAATTTAGTCAATTATCATCAACATAATTACTAAGATTAAGGTAAAAATTTAAAACGTTTTATGAAAACAAAATTTATATCCATCTATCAAAATTAAAGGTTTAGATTTTTCACTTAAAATAAACTATATTAATAAAAACGGTAGCACAGTGGGGTCGAGGCACAGTGTGGACGAGGCATAGATGGGACAAGTATAGATGATATCTGACAGTGATTAAAATCACTATCATAAGAAAC